AGCTGCGCGGCCGCCGCCAAGGCGCCGGTGAAGAAAAACGCGAAGGTGGCCAGCGTGAGCGTGCAGCTGGAGATGAAGGCGCTGTGGGACGAGTTCAATCAGCTGGGCACCGAGATGATCGTCACCAAGGCCGGCAGGTCAGGGCGCCCCCTCCCCGCGCCGCGACCCTCCCCACGTGCTGCCACTGGGGCAGTACGCCTTGGTCGGATGTGCGAGCGTGGGGTCCAGAAGCCGGGTGGGGGGCGCGGCCCGGCCACCTGCGGGTCCTCTCGGCCTTGCCTCCTCCTTTGCTCTCCGCGGTCCCGGCTCCAGCGACAGCCGCGGTGAGCACCGGGCGGGAGGGGCCAGCGCGGGTGGCGGAGAGAAGACTGAGGACAGGCCTGCCGGACCTGCAGCCCCAGGACGCGGCAAGGGGAAGCAGCCACCTCGGAGCGCACTGATCTGGGACAAGCAGTCGCGACCGAGGTGCTCGGCCGCTCAGCTGGTTCCCCGTAGGTCGCACTTCAAAGGAAAATCCTGTTTAAGTTCCCGAGTTCATTCTATGCGGGCAAGAGAGAGAGCAGAAGCTGAGCAATTGTCTGAACGATTTTAGGAGAGAATTAAGATTCAATGGGCTTAGTACGGTGGAAGTTGTTACCCAGTTTTCTCAGGCCTAAATTTCGAGTGGTTGTGGGCCCTGGCTCTGCGCAAGGCGGCCGCGGTCTTCCAATTGGCCTGTATTTGCTTTAAGGGCCGAGAGAAGGGGAACAAGTTTTGCAGATGCACCCGATTTGACCAGCAGACAAAGGCGGGTGCTGGGCTGTGTCTAATGTACACACCAGCTCTATGTCCGCGCAGCCAAGGGGAGCTCAAGGCCTGTTTGCAAAGCTTTCTCGCGGTTTCTGTTTCCCTGCCACGCAGTCCTCCTTGGGGAACCCGGGGCCTGTCCTGTCTCCTGTTCTGTGCGTGGATTTCTTCCAGGCTGTCTTTGCTGTCCTTAGGTCCACTGTCCCTCTGAAGACAGTGGCTGAGCCTCTGGCACAGGCCCACCCAGCAAGACCCCTGTCAGTGGCCAGGTTTTACCTTAAGAGCGTTATTCGGCAGCGCCCTTTGGCCTGCAGAGACTCTGGTGGGGATGGCAGGAGCCCTGTACTGGGAGACTGGCTTCTGGCATCTGTTTTCTGCCTACTACCGGCAGGGAGTTGATTGTGAAGAGAGACGGTGGGAAGGGTCCAAGCCTGTGCTGTCCTCCAGGGCTCAATGGCTGGTACCGCGGTGCCATCAGAGGAGGGCAGGCTGCGGGCAATAGCCCAACCAGGAGCTGTAGAATATCCTTTTAAGAGCCCTGGTTGATGACCAAGTCGTGGTCCAGACAAGAGGAGACTGGGGAACTGTTAAGGTATAAGCCAAGTCTGCCCTAGGCAGCCTCGTGTTGGAGTTATGCGCCTAGGGGGAAGGGGTATTTGCCGTGTAGAGGCTCCAAACATCAGGCCAGAACCTGGGAGTCAGGGATGGTGGGCTTCTGAGGTGTCAGCTTTGCTGGAGGGTCTGGGGAACTGGCCAGACCCAGCTGAAAGGTCAACTGGGGACTCTTCAGAATTACTCGGACTACCTGGTTTCACTTTGTTGGAGCCGGGAGCCTCTTAGATCAAGCTAGGGAGGCTCTGCTAAGAGTCAGGAAACCTGGGGACTCGCATTTTAGGGATCCTGCTGCTAGCCAAGGCCAGGTCTGAGAGAACAAGGAATTGGCAGGGCAAAGCAGGTCTAGAAAAAACACAGGTGGCGGAAGGTTGAGGCCGCCAAGGCACGGTGCTGCGCTAGCCATTTCAGTGCTTTAGAAAAGGACCGCGGGCCTGCCCTGCTGCACCATTCACTCACAAGCAGGCAGGGGCCTACTGCGGTTAGAGCAGTGGGTAGAATACAGCAGTCAGAAGGGAGACCAAGAGGAAGGGCCCTGTGAGGGGCTGCCAGTCCAGGACAAGTCACAGTAGGGTGCCCCACCCTCCTTCCTCTGACTGGAGGCTCTGGCACCCCCAGGCGAATGTTCCCCACGTTCCAAGTGAAGCTGTTCGGCATGGACCCCATGGCCGACTACATGCTGCTCATGGACTTTGTGCCAGTGGACGACAAGCGCTACCGGTAAGCGAGCCCCCAGGACCACCTGGCCTGACCGTAAGTGTGGACCCTAGGAAGCAGTAGGTCCCCGCTGGGTGACTAACTCCACAGCCCGAAGCTCTTAATGAGCAGGGCCTTCCAGGCACCTGAGCAGGCTGCCCCATTTACCTTCTGGACTTGGTCCCTCTCTTCCTCCTTCAGACCCCAGACTCACACCTCTCCTTATTCTCTAGATTGTGCCTGAGGAAGCCCAACAGCTAGGAATCCCTCCGGCTTCAGTCCCAAGGCGGTTCGATACCAGCCCCAGATTTTCTCGGGTCTCCCTCGCTCTTGAGTCTATCATGAGCACCCTACCCCCATCTCCAGGGACTGCTAGGTCTCAGAGTTGGGCCGGAAAGGTGGGGTGGCTGGGAGAGATTATGCAGGGCGGGCCTCGGCTGCCTGGACAATTAATAGCAATTAATAAAGCCAATGCAGACTGCCCTGCGCCTGAGGCTGCGAGTGAGGCCAGATGTAGGCTCCTGCCACGTTGGCGCGTTGGGACGAGCAGGCCCGCGTACAGCGAAAGGAGGAGAGGAGGGGAGCACGGTCTCCTCTCAGTGTCCCAATAGGGTTGTGGTTTTGTGTCGCTTTGTGTATTGGGGGCTAATGGGAGTTCTCCAGTTTTTTCACAATCCCCTTGTTAAAGCTCTTAGCCCCCATGTGACATGGGAGGGGTTGATGTCGCTGGCAAGGAGACTCTAGAGGCACTTTTGGGGTTCACCCAGCACATGAAGCAAGGTCCTTTTTGTTCACCCCCAATGTGGCATGATCGCTTCCCTGGTGCTGCCCTAGGTACGCCTTCCACAGCTCCTCCTGGCTGGTGGCCGGCAAGGCAGACCCTGCCACTCCGGGCCGCGTGCACTACCACCCAGACTCGCCGGCCAAGGGTGCACAGTGGATGAAGCAAATAGTGTCCTTTGACAAGCTCAAGCTGACCAACAACTTGCTGGATGACAACGGCCACGTGAGCAACACCTTCTCCCAGGCTCCAGGGCTGTCCTTATTGCAGGCTTTCAGAAGTGCTCACCAGGCAGGGGACTTGGGCAGCACCGGCACAGGCTTCGGAGAATGGACTTTTGGTCGGAGAGCGGGCCTATAGCCTGCGAGAGGCAGTCACCCTGTTGTTCCTCACCCCTCTCTGGATCTTTCGCTGAAAGCTTTTTAATTGGAAAGGTTGGACTAGTGCATGGGGGTTGGGGCAGGAGGCTTTGTGGAATCCAGGCCAGTGTGGCTGCTTTCCTACAGGACTGAGCTCCGCCTCCCATCGACCATCCCCTGCAGGCCCTAGGGCAATTATTAGGGACCTGAGAAAAGATTACCAAAGCCACTGGGGCATCTTTCCCAGAGGTCCCCAGTGGGTTACATGGACCTGCCTCATCTCTTGAGTTAAGGATTTTGTCCCAGTTTAATGAAGGAAGTTCATTGCCCACTCAGACCTCTACCGGATTCCTGGCTTGTTGGGATTCTAGCCCAGCCCCCACCACTGGAGCTGATCCCCCACCCCACACTGTCTTCCAGATCATCCTCAACTCCATGCACAGATACCAGCCCCGCTTCCATGTTGTCTATGTGGATCCACGAAAAGATAGTGAAAAGTATGCGGAGGAGAACTTCAAAACCTTTGTGTTCGAGGAGACGCGCTTCACGGCAGTAACTGCCTATCAGAACCACCGGGTGAGGGCCTGCAGGGAGGTCCTGGGGACCAACTGGTTCGGCCTTTCTGGGAATGGGGTACAACTATTCGTCTGCTGCTTAGGGGGGGACACAGACAGTTCAGACTGTATGCTGTGGGTGTCCTAGTAGAGCACAGTACAACTAGGGAAGCCCCCCGCCCCAGCATCCCGCTGCCCACTCCTTCCCACCAGGCTGGTCCAGCCTCCTATCAGCTTGACCTCTGTAGCAGCAACTGTCACTGCTGCTTGAAAGTTTGTTTTCCAAACCGTTCCAGAAACTCCCCATCAGGGGCCTGATCCGAGGTTTACCCAGATATCCTAGGGCACTCACTGAGTTCCCCATCTGTGTGCGTAGAGGGGGGCGGGGAGACGGCGGCTGGTGGTGGTGATGGTGACCACATCCACACTAGAGGCACGGGTCCTCACCTTCATTTTTTTGGAGTGGCAAAGAATTCCCTAGTAAGAAAGGCACCATATGGGGAAGAGGGCAGATGTGGGCCAGTTCTAGTGTCAGCTGAGCCTCTCCTAACACTCCCCCATTCTCCGCCGAGGCCAAGTGCCCACGGGCTGCAGGGCTCCAGCCGCTAGCTCATGCCTGCTTCCCTGCAGATCACGCAGCTGAAGATTGCCAGCAACCCTTTTGCCAAAGGCTTCCGGGACTGCGACCCTGAGGACTGGTGAGTGTGCTCCAAAGAGTCAGCGAGTGCCCTCGCTCCTGGTTGGGGCGTCACCTTGACCGGCTCCCCTCTCGTAGGCCGCGGAACCACCGGCCTGGCGCGCTGCCGCTCATGAGCGCCTTTGCACGCTCGCGGAACCCCGTGGCCTCCCCCACGCAGCCCAATGGCGCCGAGAAAGGTAGGGCCAGGGTCGTGGGCTCTTGGCCGCGACCCCACGCGAGCTCTGTCCTAGTTCGGCGGCCGCGCCCGGCCTCGCCTGCCCCCCGCCCGGGGCGCTCACGGCCTTCGCGCCGGTTGCACAACGGCCG